TGTTCAGGGCGGGACTCTCATCCTACATGTACAGTTTGGTCCAGATGTGAGCATGTACACTGAAGTTACGACAACTTCCGTGTCATGGCGAAGATGATCTTTGACGCCACGCCACGGACACGCCCATTGACGAAAACGCAAATAGCACAACTTTTCATCTCAATGCCTTTAGAAGGCACAGCAGAAATTTGACGGATCCGACTAAATCCCTAGGAGGAGTTCGTTAAAGTACGAAGTGTGTAAATCATCCAAAAATGGCCATAAAATTCAAAATGGCCGACTTCCTGTTGACTTTAGGCTATGGGTTCTTGAGGCTTTTTTGTGCGTCTTGACATGATACATGTCCCCAGAAAATTTCGTACATGTAGGTTGAACGTGAACGAGGGGCTAATTTTTCCAATTTTCTAGGTGGCGCTAGCGAGTCATTTTGCAACGCCCATGTGCGAAACTTGTAGAATACGAAATTTTTCACCGGTTCTGACATGTTTGCAAATTTTGGTGAGTTTTCGAGTATGTTTAGGCCATGTCATTTGGGCCTACTTTGCAGAAAAAAAAAAAAAAAAAAAAAAATAAAAAAATTCAATAGGGACCTCGCACGGTCGTGCTCGGGCCCTAATTAAAGCTGCAAGCAGCGTTGGGCGGGCCCTCGCACTTGTAAGCGCGTCCGCGTGTGAGCCGGCCGAGTTGCATATTCTGGAGCTCTGCCGGTGCGGCTGTGAATTTGCTACGCGGTTATGTCGCCGCATGAAGGTGCTATATGTCACTTCCTGTGTCCCCTATGTGGAGCTACATAGCACTTGCCGCTATGAATATAAATCGGTATTGACGTGTAGATGTCTGCGGGGTGGGAGAGTTATCAAGCACGTAAAGTTTGTTTCAGATGTGAGCATGTACACTGAACAATAATGTACCCAAACAATAAAATAAATTCCTTTTATATTTCCCTGCCTTGTTGTTTATGTGTACATACAGAGGAAGAATGTGAGAACAGCACACATTTCATCGTTACTGTGTGTTAGAGCATGGGAGAACAGTGGATACTTTTAATACAGCCCACACCCCTAATACTGTGTAACTATAACAAGTAGAGAACAGAAGAAAAAGATGTTCTTTCTTTACAACTGTCTGCATAGCTTATTCATATTGTGTAATGAATGAAAATAAATAGGCCTACTAGGCTCCTCTCTACTTTGACATTTAAGATTAGCTTGTTTGATCCACCTTCATACACATGTGACATTACTGTACAACTTGAGAAAGGTGAGTTGTTTTCTGCTCCAGCCTGCCTAAAAGAAAAGCGTTTTTGGGATTAAATGGACTTTATTAGCTGCTGCAGTGCAGGATGAACTCAGAATAGACCCATTTCTCACCTTATTATTCTAAATCATGCAACGAAGAAGAAGAAATGCATAATAAATCCTGGGACAAAATCTGTAGTCAAATACTGTACAGCATGTAGTCTGATGAACAAGACTTGTGTTATAGCTGACTTGGGCAGTGAAATGTTTTTTTAATTCATGTGGTCATAGTTGTCCACAACTCAAATCAGAATATAAGAAGAAATGTTTTATACCACCTCAAGAAGGCTTCCTATCAGAAAGGTAGGAAGGTATTTCAAATGTACAACTGCAGTACTTAAATCTAAGTAATTTCCCTGACATTTTTGTGTTACTTTACTTTTAATAGACCCATGTAAGAGGTTTTATACTTCCTGTGAGTATAATCCAATCAATCTTATTTTCATACTGTATATCCGTTGTGTAATTTGATAAATTGTGTTGTATGTCGTGCTCGCATCTCAGAGAAGACTCTGACTGCAACATGCGTCTTTGTAAAGAGAGAAACGGACAGAAAAAGTCTCTAACTCTGCCTGTCAGCTCGCTCTGCTCCGTTAAAACTGAATTTACCATACAGAATTGATTTAGCTGCAGCCAGCTGACCGTGTGCTTCTCCCTATACCGCAGTTCTGTGTCCATGCATGCAGCAAACTGAAAGCACTGTCTGTCGGAGCGTCTACGTGAAAAGAGAAGGAAGACATTGCTGGTAGTATTGTCTTCAGAGTTGTTAAACACCTCAGCGCACTGAAGGAAGCCATCTGACTGTGTGAGGGGCAAGATCGTTGATGTCTGCAGGCAGAGTAGGAGCTCTCCTGTCTGACTGGTCCACCAATAGCAGAGAAGATGACCCCTTGAGACACAGCCCCTCCTCATTTGCATAATGAGGCAGAAATGCATACAAAAATTTAAAAAAGACAGGCAGAAATAAATACCATGGGTGAAAATAAATAAGGTAAATAAATACAAAGGAAGAATAAAACAGACAAAAATATTAAAACACACATAAATAAATACATTAAAAAAATTAGTAATAAATAAAGTTGAATAAACAAATAAGGTAATTATAACAAAGGTGAATAAGTAAAGGCACTAATTAAAATATATACATTTATGTCTCCTTGTATAATTTAATTACTACCTACATTTATTTATTTACTTTATTTTTTTGTGTATTTAATTGGATGCTTATTTATTTATTGAGCATTTATTTATTTCTGTATTTATTTCTGACTGTGTCAGGATCGGTCCTCCATAACGGGGTGGGAGAGTTATCAAGCACGTAAAGTTTGGTTCAGATGTGAGCATGTACACTGAAGTTACAACAACTTCCTGTGTCATGGCGAAGACTTGATCTCTGACGCCACGCCACGGACACACCCATTGACGAAAACTCGCAAATAGCACAACTTTTCATCTTCAATGCCTTTAGAAGGCACAGCACAAATTTGAAGTCGGTCGGACTAAATCCCTAGGAGGAGTTCGTTAAAGTACGAAGTGTGTAAATCATCCAAAATTTGACGTAAAATTCAAAATGGCCGACTTCCTGTTGATTTTAGGGCATCGCTCCAAGAGGCTTTTTTGTGCGTCTGGACAAGATACACGTACCACAGAAAATTCGTGCACGTAGGTAAAACGTGCGGCGGGGGCTGCTTCGTTAAAAGTCACTTCCTGTTGCCAGCAGGTGGCGCTATGACTGTCTGTGAATGTCAGCATGTACATGTGTTCAGGGCGGGACTCTCATCCTACATGTACAGTTTGGTCCAGATGTGAGCATGTACACTGAAGTTACGACAACTTCCGTGTCATGGCGAAGAGTTGATCTTTGACGCCACGCCACGGACACGCCCATTGACGAAAACTTGCAAATAGCACAACTTTTCATCTTCAATGCCTTTAGAAGGCACAGCACAAATTTGAGGTCGGTCGGACTAAATCCCTAGGAGGAGTTCGTTAAAGTACGAAGTGTGTAAATCATCCAAAATTTGACGTAAAATTCAAAATGGCCTACTTCCTGTTGGGTTTAGGCTATGGCTCCAAGAGACTTTTTTGTGCGTCTGGACAAGATACACGTACCACAGAAAATTCGTGCACGTAGGTGAAACGTGCGGCGGGGGCTGCTTCGTTAAAAGTCACTTCCTGTTGCCAGCAGGTGGCGCTATGACTGTGGGTGAATGTCAGCATGTACATGTGTTCAGGGCGGGACTCTCATCCTACATGTACAGTTTGGTCCAGATGTGAGCATGTACACTGAAGTTACAACAACTTCCTGTTTCATGGCGAATCATCGACGCCACGGACACGCCCATTGACGAAAACGCGCAAATAGCACAACTTTTCATCGTCAATGCCTTTAGAAGGCACAGCAGAAATTTTACGTCGATCCGACTAAATCCCTAGGAGGAGTTCGTTAAAGTACGAAGTGTGTAAATCATCCAAAAATGGCCATAAAATTCAAAATGGCCGACTTACTGTTGACTTTAGGCTATGGGTTCTTGAGGCTTTTTTGTGCGTCTTGACATGATGCATGTCCCCAGAAAATTCGTAGATGTAGGTTGAACGTGAACGAGGGGCTAATTTTTTCCAATTTTCTAGTTGGCGCTAGCGAGTCATTTTGAAAAAAAAATCCGAGCAAATTCAATAGGGACCTCGCACGGTCGTGCTCGGGCCCTAATAATCCGAGCAAATTCAATAGGGACCTCGCACGGTCGTGCTCGGGCCCTAATAATCCGAGCAAATTCAATAGGGACCTCGCACGGTCGTGCTCGGGCCCTAATAATCTGAGCAATTTCAATAGGGACCTCGCACGGTCGTGCTCGGGCCCTAATAATCCGAGCAAATTCAATAGGGACCTCGCACGGTCGTGCTCGGGCCCTAATAATCCGAGCAAATTCAATAGGGACCTCGCACGGTCGTGCTCGGGCCCTAATAATCTGAGCAAATTCAATAGGGACCTCGCACGGTCGTGCTCGGGCCCTAAATATAATCTTAGCAAATTCAATAGGGACCTCGCACGGTCGTGCTCGGGCCCTAAAAATATAATCTTAGCAAATTCAATAGGGACCTCGCACGGTCGTGCTCGGGCCCTAAAAATATAATCTTAGCAAATTCAATAGGGACCTCGCACGGTCGTGCTCGGGCCCTAAAAATATATTCTGAGCAAATTCAATAGGGACCTCACATGGTCATGCTCGGGCCCTAAAAAAAAAAATCTTTACAATTTCAATAGGGACCTCGCACGGTTCATGCTCGGGCCCTAATAATAATCTTTACAATTTCAATAGGGACCTCGCACGGTTCGTGCTCGGGCCCTAATAATCTTTACAGTTTCAATAGGGACCTCTCACGGTTCGTGCTCGGGCCCTAAAAATCCTTACAGTTTCAATAGGGACCTCGCACGGTTCGTGCTCGGGCCCTTAATATATATGGAGAATGAGGTGGTCTGTGCCCCAGTAGAGCTTTGTCTAGCAACGCCCCTGATGTAGAGAATTTTCACACTTGTCAAACTGGCTGCAAACACCAAAAGTTTTTCATATAAACAGTTTGATTGTGATGCTAAACTAAACTTCTTAAGTTATTGTCTGATGGTTCATGCTGTGTGTCATAACGTAAAGCTGTGTAACAAAACAGTGCTACAGTGTCTCGATGTCTCGATGTGGAACCTTGAAGCTGCTGTGTCCATAAGGGACATAAATGTTATGCAAAACTCCAAATAAGTGTTTTCCATCATTTGGTTAAATACATTAGGAACAGCCTTTAGGTTCCTGCAGGTCTAAATCTGACAGCTCTTTATTGAAGCCATAATGCTACAGTATTTTTGAAAGCAGCTGTATTATGTCTCCAGGTGACATAGGACCAAGAGGGCTCAAAGGCAGCAAAGGAGAAGGTTACCGTGGACCTCCAGGACAGCCTGGACTGCCAGGTATGTAAAAGCCCATCTATCAGCCTGTTTTCTGAAATTATGCCATTCTGTGGAGCTGCAGCTATTTCAGCAGCCACTGTGCTGACATCTCAGCTGTCAGATCTGTGTGAGTGCAAAAATACATCAAGGCTGTTGGCAGTCTTACATTTTTAATAAATATGTGGATGGACGCTGTTTATACTTAATTTTCAAGCAGTACTTTTAGTGACAGGTGGGGTGAAAACGTGTGAGGGCAAGTTACAGATAGTGAGTGCTGAATATCTCTGTGAAGCTACTGTATAATAGCCCATTAACTCATGACACAGTATGAGTAGATGTCATTTATGATCAGGGATGTGTAGTAACTCTTTCTCATTTTTAAAACTGTACTTTTATTCTTCATTTGTTTGGGATAGTCATCTATTTTTATCCGCTGTGCATTTTGCTACATTAATTAAATGAGCTGCCATCCAGGCTGTGTGTGTGGTTAGGCAGGAGAGCTTTAACCAGTGCATTTGTGCTGCCCAGATGCAAACATCTATACCTTAAGGTTTGGTTGTTCTACTAACCACTGTTCCACTGGTGGCAGTGTGGGAAAGCAACCTGCATCGCCTTTTCACAAGCTGCAGAGATCCTTTGGGAGAATTTAAAGAGCATTTAGTCTCTGCAGAACAAAAACTTTGTGACATGTGGCTCAGGAGGTAGTGAGGCTTGGCTGTTAATCGGAAGGTTGGCGTTTCAATCCCCGGCTTGGAACTCTGAATGTGAACACTTATTAGGCTAAGTGTATGGTGAATGGTGAATGGTGAATGCAGGTGTAGTGTAAAAGCTTTGAGTGGTTGAAAAGACTAGAAAGGCGCTATACAGAGCATTTACATGTAAGATGATCAGAATCCTAACCCTTTCTGTTGATGGATCTCTCATTGTCATTGGTTGCTATTTAGTGAATTAATTAAATTAAATTGAAATTAATTAATTTAATGTTTTATACACAGCCTGTCTACCTACATTACTTGTCAAATGGTACTTTTTATAGGAGCAATTGAGTAAAGACTTTCAGTCATTGTAAATTCATAGAAATCAAATGTGATGGAACCTTTAACTTCCATAACCTTTCCATAAATGTGGCAGAAGTAACAGCTGTAACCTCATCACTGCAGGGATTCAGGGACCTCGTGGCTTTGATGGAATTGGCCATCCAGGCAACCAGGGAATTCCTGGAAAACCAGGACCACCAGGAGATTCTGGTAAACGGGGTAACCCAGGGCTTCCAGGAGTTTGTGACATTTCCATGTGTTATCAGACCTACAACCTCAGGGAACATTACAGCAAAGGACCCAACGTCTGATGACATCCGATAGCAGTGTGGGAGAGGCTGCTGTAGAAAAAACACCAGTGTTTTGAGGAAGCAATTTACTGTATCATTGATTTAAAGAGAGGTGTGACTGTTGACTCCTTTATAACAAAGTATGTTAGAGATGACCACATTCATTGACTTGACAACTGAAATGGGCAGGGCATTGATTCATGATTATGGAATTCAAGACGCTCAAATGCAAACTGAGATACCAGGCTATCATTACATTTTTAAATTTGAGTAACAGTTTTAAATAGTCTTTACAGTGATGACTGTATCTAAGGAAGGGTTAGAGTCCCTAGTGTTAAAAAAAAAAAAGGATAGAGTGGGAGATGGGAAATCAAAGGAGTAAAATAAGCAAAGGTGAGAAACCTGCTTGTTTTTATTTTCTATTTAACTATTTTAAACTTTTTTAGAGCACTTTGCATTACCTTGTTTTTGAAATGTGCTATACAAATAAACTTGCCTTGCCTTGCCTTATCCCAAGTAAGTCAGATGAGCACCAACATGGTTGTAACTGGTTGTAACCAACACAGCTGGTTTTTGTGTAACGCATATGATCAGGAATAACATTTAAAAAGCTACCTATTCTTTTACCTGAGTTACTCTGCTAACAAGATAGGCTGCTAACAGGCCAACACCACCAGCAATCCAATCAGATTTCATCTCCTTCTGAAAACCAAGCAAAACTCAAGAATAGAAAGTTTATTATTTAACAATTATTTATTTAATCCAGACTGATAATAAAAAAAACCTGCACATTATTAAGCAAAGTGGGAGAATCAGCCCCCGTGCTGTGCTTGAAAGCTACAGTTCCTTCAGTTTCACCAAATGAGTTTATATTAACTAGTGAGATTATTCTGCGTTCAGTGCAGCTCTGCCTCAGAGAAATGATTGTATCTCCAAATTATGTGAAAAGTCCATTACACACCTTAACACTGAATTGGGATATGTCATAATGAAAGAATTTTCTTCTGTTGGGAAAACATATTTCTATCACCTGTTGTGTACGGAGCACCAGGGGTTGTGCTAATCCATCACTGTGACACACAGGGATGTAAGGATCCTGTCACTGTATATTTGTACCCATCATGTCTGTTTTCTTGTTCCTTTGTCAGTGTTACAGCCTCATGTTGCATCTCTTTGTGTGGATTACCGTAAAATGATCAAATTGTGGCCTTTATTTACCTCAACTGCAGATTTATGCAGGCTTATATTATTGACAGACCTTTATTTATCTGTGTTCTGTAAGTATATCTTCTTGAAGATGCCTCTGTGTTTTACAATGTGCTCTTCATTGTGCCTATCTCTCTTGATAAATTCATCATCATTTAACTCATCCCATCAGTACAACAGTCATGTCACCACTCAAAGTCTCTTTTCTCCAACAAAAATACTCCTTATATTCAGCACTTGTTTCCTGTCACTTAAATTTTGCTGTGTTGTGATTAATCTGTAAACGTCCTGCTCTTTCTTGCATTAAAAGCCTCCCAGTGGCTCCAAGGGCATAATCCATCCCATTTCTGGTAGGCTTTTAATTTGAAACATCTGCAGGAAATATTGAATTTTATTGACAGTAACCTGACCACGCTCGGAAAACCAGCAGAGTGATTGGAAATAACCAGTGAATGAAAACAATAATTCTGATAAAAATCAATAATTGATTTTCTTGATGACAGAAGGACTAGTTGTACAGTTTATATTTTGCTCATTTAGTCCAGCTGTGTTTAGTGTACTTGGTTGGTCCACTAGTGTACTAGTGGACTAGTGGACCGACAGTCTCTGTCTGACCAGGTTTACTTTGTGAAGTTGTTCAGTAGGCTCAGTGTGACTGGATGGATTTATTTTACAATTATCTGCCAGTGCTTTTAAAGTTTGGTATGGGGAAATGACAACTCCTTTAGAGCGCATGTAAGCATTTATATGCTAAGTTGGTTGAATAATTAAAACTACAGTCTCCATCAGGGCCAGCCTGTGGCAAATACAACACAGGAGGTTGCCTTGGGCGCAAAATGTCAGAAGGCGCCGAAAGAGAAAGTTTTTGACTTGGCGCAAATCACCTCCGGCCAGCTGATGTGACATCAGCTTATCCCATGACAATAAACAAGTGCACCCACCTTACACTGTGAGCAGCTGTCAGTCGCAGCCAGATTGTGACAGAGTAGTAGCTAATGCTGGTAGTTTTGCAATATAAACATGTAATAATTGAGGCGCAAACTCTGTTTGGGAGAAAACCTGTGAAACACATTTCCACCATATATTGATGCAGAATAGGAAGAAATTGGTGCAGAAATTTTCAGCAGAATGCAGGAAATAACATGTTTAATGCTCAAAAATTTCAGAGGGAGGTCCCCCAGACCCCCACTTAATAACTGTCCCCTCCAGTGTTCAAATAAAAACTATGCTATTGCAATTTTTACAAAAAAATGTACCCCATGAATTCACTTGAATGAACAAAAACAATCTCTGTTTGATACATTGTTTCCGGGGGAACAACTCAATGCCGGTTTGGTGTGCCATGTTAGGCAATGTCTGCAGGATGGCAGGTATGCTGATCACACTTATTGACCATGATTATTGACTTGGCTTTTCATAAATTTGGCTGCAGAACTTTATGCAAACTGCGGTAGACTGTTTAGGGTTGGGCACATGGGATGCGAGCAGGCGCCAATGTAAATTCTTGCCTAGTGCTCCAACACTGTCTAAAGTTAGATTGCAAAAGAAATTCTTCTTTTTTTACAAAGACCTTATTTCCAAAGCAATTTAAAGACATTATTGGTTGTTTTGTGGGAAATGGCTCATGTCCCAGTTTCCCAAGAAGAGAGATTTAAAATTCCATGTTTAGATAAACATGTCATCCGAAAACTTGGAACCCTACCATATGCCTTGGGGAGCACAGCTCTCTGGGGTTCAGACGTCAAGATCCCAGTTTACAAAAGGATGTTGTTTGTCCTCAAACTGTGAATGTTGACTTGCCATAATAAGCTTGGTAGGTTTTAAAATATCACTGCTGTAATAGTTTATGGAGTCACAGTAATGGTTTTAGAGTGACAATCCAATCCATTGCTTTTTTTTCAACTTGTTGATGAAAATGATTTTACTGTAAGAAGATATCACACAACTGTACTGTAAATGATGCATTTAGCTTCAAGCTTTTCAGTTACATTATTTAAATGTAAATCTGGGGTAGGCAGCGTTGGAGACACCAGCAAGAAACAGTTAGATTTTAGTCTTCAACTGAAAGAATCCCACCCCCTCCCTTCAGGCCTCCCTCCAAAGCCACTCCCACAAAACACATGATCATGAGCAGTGAGTACACGGGCAGAGTGTGCAAAGGTAGACAGGTGGGCAGTCAGGCAGGTAGGGACCGTGCTTATTACAGCCCTGACTGTCACAGACGCCCGATTTTTTCCATGTTTGTGTCAGGGCAGTTGATTTATTGATTACTGTCGGCATGTAAAGAAAGTTTGTACAAATAGAAGAAACATGCTTCTGAAGTAAACTGCTCTCCCCAGCTTTAAAGTGTTTTAACAGAAAATGTATTCTAAAGCTATAGCTAGCAGCTCCTACAGGCTTTGGTGTTTATCATGTCCCACAGAGCTAAATGATGAGGAAACAAACAACATGCAGGTGATTTTGCTATTCATAGAGACTTGCTGTAAGGATTAATACACATGAAGTTTACTTTACTGAACAAGAGTACTACCCTATGAAAACATTTGTATTTTGTGGCTATGGGGGGAGCTTATCAAAGCCATTTTACTTGTTTTCATTCTATCTTCTGAAAATACAATTAACAAGTCCTCAAACATAAATGCCTGAATGTCAGTGCCTAGCAAAACATAACAAAAAATGCAGAGGTGGAAAGAGTACAAAAAAGTAAAAGTACTATTACTTTGATGAACTTTTACTTAAGTACAAGAAAAGTTACCAGTTCAATAAATCTACTCAAGTAAAAGTAAAAAGTAGCTCATCTAAAATTAGAACAGAGTAAAAGTAAGTTTTTAACTTCTTTATACTGCTTTAATATCTTATTTATACTTACTATAGGCCTACTTGTTAAATAAACACAGTCTTTGCAATTTGATAAGGGAACAAAGCCATATGGCGATTTCAGTTTGTTTGACAGATACTTTTCCAATGGTGAAAAACAATGACATTTTATGTTATAATGGGAAGGTTGAAAATGTGGCAGAACAGATTAGACTCTGGACTGGGAAAACGGGAAACACTGGACTGTAAATTAAGTCATATCCCTATTTACATTGAAACAGGTGGCCATTTTAATGGGATATCATAAGCGTTAGTGTAATAAATAACTAGTTACCAGCAAGTTGCTAATGCCAACCAACATTCTCATGCAAAGATATGTTTTTGGCCAAACTATGGAAACTTATTTTTAACTACCAATGGAATGATACGAGTAGGCTGTTGAACAGACTCCTAAAAATCATAGTAAATAATTAGATAATTCTAATGATTAATTCATTCATCATGTTTGATGAATAAAAGCTATCAGCGCTGATCTCACTTACAAACAGATTGCATTTCCTGTGACTAATTCAAAATAAAAGTAAACTTGTGTTTCGCCAGTGAAATGCTTTTAATGTTAAGCTGCAGCAGGAAATGTTTAGTTTGCATTAGCAGGAACTTAATACAGCATTTTTCACAGCTTGCACTGCATGATAAAGCTGTTGTTCTCTTGCCCTTGAAGCCAAAGTTGCTGCGAGTTTTTCCTTGCACTTTTTTTTCTCAGTAACGGATGAGATTGAAAATGTAATGAAGTACAATACTTTAAAGAGGTGGTATTAGCTTTTTCCCTCTCCTTTATTGAGTTATGTATCTTTTTTGTGAATGTAAAGTGAAAAAGCCCAAAGTCCACACCAAAGAAAACAGCTCGTTTGTAGTCCAGCCATTTCCCTTTCATCCTTGTGATGTCACAGGGATGAAAGCAAAATGCGCGTCATATAACGCTCGCGGCTACTAAGCGGCTACTCCGACTCGCCCTTAAAAACACCTGTGGAAAAACACTGAGCTGCAGCGCACACCTCTCCTCTCACTTCCAGACGCTAGCTACCCTCCAGGCAGTCAATGGACATAAAGATGTTACTGTGATGTAGAGACTGAGCTTAGTTAAAACTTTATGGATGAAAGATAAATTTGTTACAGATTAATAACTCACCACTCTGAAACTCTTGCTCCAGTCCATGTTGCTAAGCTGGTAACGGGAACATATACAGCTGAACTGAAGCCGTGTTTACAAACTTCTCACTGACCCGCCCTTCTTTGCTTCTGATTGGCTAGTAGTCCTAGTAGGAACTGCGCATGTGCAACTCCCAACAAAGATCATGTAGAGGTAATATGTAATACTCCATAGCTAAAACAAGGCGTTCAACACACAGGGTGAAAAGAGGAGCTGCAGCAATGTGTATGACAAAAATATGGTGATTTTTGAAAATCAAACCATGTAAACCTTTTCAGGTACAACCCCTAAATAGGATTTTGAACCTGAAAATGAGCATAATACAACCTCTTTAAACAAAACATATTTAAGTAAAAGTAAAATTACAGATTTAAAAAAATACTTTAAACTACAAGTACGCAAAACACTATTCAATTACAGTAACATGATTAATTGTAATTCGTTACTTTCCACCTCTGCACAAATGAGCTGTCAACTCAGATATTGGCTGTTGGTAGGATGAAGACACACCAAAATACTCTGGTAAGTTTAGGTAAACCGACACTGACTGTTGGTAGGAGACAGGAAGGGGTCACATGTTTTGAACACCCAACCACTCAGTCCAGCCTACCAAAGTTGATGTGCAGCACTGTCTCAGTGTCATGCTCCTTCCTCTGTTGCCACTGAGGAAGCTCCTTTGTTTCTGCTGAGTACAGTGTCTCTGCTCAGGGCTGTGACCAAGGCTGAAAGCTGCAGCTATGGTTGGTTTTAACACAGTTTCACTGCTATCTTGAAAAACTGTTTTTGTAGCTATTCCATGTATGATCTGTCATTTCTGAGTAATGACATCTACTTTAAAAGGTGTCAGGCTATCAGTAACCATGTTCACTGCAGAAACAGTCCATGTTGTGTGAAGGTGATTTCCACTGCAGATGGTGACATGATTTGTGTTGAGTTTTACTGCATATGAATTTGAGATTACAAACAACACTTTATGAAAACACATAAACTAGGTCCTTTTCTAGGATTTGTTTGCATCATGTTGTCTATCTTCTGTATTAGCAATATATTTCAAGTTAGTCAATTCATACAATTTTCAAAGTTAGTATTATGTCTAATATCCATATATGCTAGGATGATGTTATTTTGAATTTTTATATATATTGTACAATTTGCAATACACTGCCTTATTAATTTGATTGCAAAATAAATTTATATTAAAAAACCTATTTATGTAACACTGAATTTTCACTGACTTCTGGATTGCAGTTTTTCATAGAAAGTTTTTTGGGTAAAACATACAGCTGTATTCAACTGTGAGGGGGTGAATTTATTTATAACTCTCCTGTTTAAATTATATTAAGCCTTAAAATTCTGGACGCTTTGAGTCAGGCGGCTGCTGGCTGTCACTGCTAGCAGTCTGCCTGCCTCACTCAGCTAGCTTGAGGGGCTCTTGCTACAAGCCCTGGCCTGGAGGGACCTTACCTAGGGGGGCGGGGGATGGGGCTGAATGCTGGGGCCAGTCAGGAACCCAGTGCCCCAGTGGGGTGACCCATTCCTGCCTAGCCTCCCTATGACCTCTTCCACCTTCCCCCCCTTTGGTTATGTCTTACTACATACACCCTTAGGACTCTGGGGGTCGGCAGGTTGAGAGGCGTTTGGTGGGTGGGGCTGCTTTATTGCCTCGCAGTCCTCCCTCCCCTACTGGCCCCCCACCCCTCACTTTTAATCCCATATTAGACACAGAGCACTTGGGGGGTGGGAGGGGCACGTTGGGAAGCTCCACTACCTGCCAGTTGTGTGGTGCCCGTGTTGCAATTACCCTCCAATTTTAACTGCACCTTAAGTGACTTTGAACATGGCATGGTTGTTGGTGTCAGAGTATTTCAGAAACTGATGATCTGCTAGGATTTTCACTGATAATGGTCCAAAAAAGAGAAAATATTCAGTGAGAGTTGACAAAAATGCCTTGTTGATGTCAGAGGTCAGAGGACAATGGGCAGACTGGTTTGAGATGACAGAAAGGCAGCAGTAACTCAAATTAACACTCGTTACAACCATGGTATACAGAATACCATCTCTGAATGTATAACATGTTGAACTTTGAAGCAGATGGGCTACAACAGCAGAAGACCACACCAGGGGCCACTCCTCTCAGCTCTGAACAAGAATCTGAGGCTACA